ATGGAGTGATTAGGGCCTTCTCCACTTGGGTCAGTTATTTAAAGTATCTTTTACACGTACATAGTGGGGGAAAAAAAAATTGGGACTTCGAAACCCAAGAGGAGGGAAATGTGAAGCTTGCTTTGAGGAGATTCCAATTCAATGAATTGAAGTGCTTTTCATTTGAAAATAATACATATTCTAAGCCACTTATGTTTTTCTGTGAGGATTTTTAAACTCCTGTTTGAGTGAGTGAGAGAGAGAGAGAGAGATGATGGAAGAATTGGGGGGAAATGAGTTCTAAATTTGAACGATGAAACACTTATCACTTAAGTGGGCCTGGGGACTTTAAAATTGAGAGAGAGGGACCATGTAATAGGGTACTACAAGATCCTTAGGAGTCTTTTGTAACTCTTTTGTAGTTCATTCCCACATCTTCTGGGGAGAGAGAGAGAGAGAGAGAGAGAGAGAGAGAGGAATATAATGGAACTGAAAATGTTATTTTATGATGCAAGAAAGAGAGGGAGCCTGACATATCATTCAAGGAAAAATCGGGTGCTGTCAGACTATTTTGGTTTTGGGTGGTTTTGGTGACCGGTTCGGTATTTTAAAAAATAAAAATAAAAACTATATAAAATCTCAAAAAATAAGGGGTTTTGTTTGTAGTGCATTTTTTGTTTTGGCCATTATAATTTATTTTTACTTTTTTTTTGTCTTTTTTTAGAAAATTTTAAAAACATCTCTAGGCATAAATTGATTATTTAAAATCTAATTTTTCATTAATTTTCAACTTCATTTGGTTACGCTTTGTTTAATCATTCTTTAAATACACTTTTCATAACTTATTATATTTTTTGTATATTTTTTTTTATCTTTCAACACTTTTTTGACCACCTGGGACTCACTCGATTAGTATATACTTGAATCAATCGGTTTACTGGTTAGGCTAGTTGAACCGCTTCTAAGCCTATGATCAATTAATTGTTTCGATTTGAATTTTCAGGACACATACGGTGAGGATTAAAATAACGATAGAGAGCGAGCTTGACACATTTACCCAATAACTTAAAGAGGGAGAGATGTACATGTACTAAGGATTGAAATTACTTGAGATGGAGCAGGACATGTAAGACCGACATGTAAGGACTGAAATAACTGCGAGAGACAAAGAAAGTGCTATACTAAGGATTGTAATAAAATAACTTAGAGGTCAACTAATAGTTGACCTAGCAAATCAAAAAATTTGTTTTTGTTTTTTTTGGGTAATTCAGCAAAGATGACGAATTTCTACTCGTTTTTTAAATCATCAGTGGTTTTTTAAATCGTTAATGACAATAAAAGCCTAGATCTGAACCGGGGGCATAAATGATGCTACCTCATTCTCAAGAAATAAGGAATTTGGACCTAGGAAATTAGAACTTTAATACAAGAGACAGATGTGGATGGTAATAAAATAACTTAGAGAGAGTAATGGTTAGACACAAGAAATTAGGAATGTAATACGCCTTCCGAGCCCGGACAGATGTAATAAAATAACTTAAGACACAGAGAGAGTAACGGTCAGAGGTAGGAAAGCACACATTTAATGTACCTTACACCCCCTATTTTGCGCCAACCAAAACGCACAGGGACAAAGTTTAAAGCCAGATGCCCCCCAATTTATTCCCCTCTTTACTACTGCACCCCCAGTTTTGCCTACAAATGCATAGTAACCCTTATATCTCATCTATTATTTCAGTTTCTCCACTCCTCATTGAAAATTAAAAAAGGAAATAAAATTTTGTAATATTTACTTACTTCCATTTATTATTATTTATTAATTTATTGCTCGTTGAAAATTAGTATCTTTGATTAATACACAGATCACAACTTCCCTTTTTTTTGAGTAAGAAAAAGGAAAGGAAAACCATGTCACATTTATTCGTGACAGGGGTATCTGGGTAACTCTATCGTCCAAGGGTATTTTGGGAATAAAGTTACTTTAGGTATTGGGAGAAATTGCAAGGGGCATTATTGTCTTTCGGAGCTGTGTTACTTTGACATTTTCTCATGAAATAATATTATTTAGCCCATCTGATTTTCAAATGACTCGATCAAACACACTCCAATAAATCTTAAGCGAAATAACATTTGAAAAGTGTTTTTTTTTCAAGAGAACGTGGAACAGTGTTATATTAATTGAAAGAATTTAAAAATGATAAAATATATGTACACTTACAAATAAACGGTTCAAATAAAGTATTACAAGATACATTATATGTTATACAATCTACCCCGCTAGATCTATAAATTTAATACCAATAAAATCAAGGGTGAGGTTTGCGTAAGGTTGCAACCTTAAACAATCCAATTAAGGCGCACGTATAAAATTTATCATAAATGTAATTTTGATATAAAAAATTATCACTATGGTTTAAGAATCTATTTTTATTTCTAATTATAAAATTTTAAACTTTAAAAATAGTTCAAATCAAGTGGATCTATAAAACATATGAAAATCTTGAAAATAGATAGTCCAGATAACGTGTTTCAAGATTTCAAAGACTCGAAATCTTTTTTTTTTCCCATATTCATACATCTCGATGTTGAGATGATCAATTAGAGGGATTTCCAACATCCAAACAACCTTTTATGATGGTTTTTGGAGGTGTATATTTAATTCTACATCTCAAGGTTGCAACCTTATATAAACTTTTTCCTAAAATCAATTTGAGAGCTTTTTGACCGTTATGAGATTGAATTTTTTGTAGGGCTTTGAGCTTTAACTTGCCTTCCTTAAAGTTTAAGCCCTATATTAAATCATCATCATCGAAGTTTTTTTTCAATTATTTGAGATTGGCTATATAAATTGTGGTAGGTCATTTCTGCTCTATCAAGAGCAAATTCTATATTAATTATTTCTATAAAATATTGATGATTGAGGGAGACCTGAAAACAAAAGATTATTGAAATGGGCATTGACAATTAGTATTATCAACCCAGTAATAAAATTATTAAAATTGAGATATTAACCCTCTTAGAAGCCTATTAAGGAATAAATTGATTATGTTTTAATTCTGGATTATGATATTAATTCAAATTTTGAGCCTCAAAATCTCCTTTCTCCAAACGCGTCATCAACGCGTCAATTTGCTCCTCATGATCCGGAAAAAAACGTCCTTTTTGACCTGGTCCTTTTCGTCCATTGTCCGAATCGATATCAGCCGCACATCGTACTGGCGCTATTTGATCTAACAGTGTTTAAGAGCCACGGTAGCAACTTGTAGCATCCGGGCCGTTGGTCTTGCCACGAGCCTCTAAAGCGAAAAGCTGACGCTGTCGCAAAAAAACTGACGTGTCAAAGACGCGTCAAAAACCCCAAAAAATTCACGTTCTCGACGCCCCGTGTTTCTGGGCGAGATACGCGTTGTTTAACCCCTGGTGGCTCCCACACGCACCGGCTTTGGCACCGATCGCCGTTATTTTTCTCCTGCGTTTCAATTACTTTGAATCTTGACCGTTGGATTAGGGTAAATCTGAGCGCGAGTAAGGAGTAACCGGCCGTTAACGAGCTTGTTAATTCCCATTCGATTAGACGGTTGAGATTTGCTCCTGAAATTGAAGGTTCCGATTCTGGGCCGTCGGATGGGAGAACGCGTACTTACTTGTGGGCTCAGCAGTCTCTACAAGGAGGAAATAATTAATTGGAGGTTGAAGCGACCCTGCTTAGGAGCAAAAATTTCGAAATTAATAATGTCGTTTAAAAATGACGAAAATAGCGTCCTCTTGCGTAATTCTTCTAAAGAATAACATATTATTTTATTTTTGTTAATTTAATTTTTTTGAATTTTCATATTATTGTTATTCTTTATTAGTCAGTCTCTAAATGCATTGCGAGGTAAGTCATGGCATTAAGTACAAGATCAGATTGGACTTATGGTCTAATTTGTTAGTCAACAGATGCTTTAATTAGTTTGGTCCAAAATAAAAATTCATTTGATTAAAATTGGGTAAGAACAAGATTCGACAAGCTTTAGCTCATTGCCCAAAATGGATCTATCTTTTTCTAAAATTCATATTTTTAAAGTATTAATTATGTTATTTTTATTTTTACAATATGGTACAATTAGTTTGATCGGTAATTAGATTGATATGGTTACGCCAAACCCCAAACTGGTTTGATGGTTGGTCCGTTAACCCACTAACCCAAAAATACTAAGAGAAACAGAGAAAGAAACATCATACTCTACTGAATTCTACCATGGTGTATGATAAGTACCAATAGTGCACGGTAAGGCCTTGCAACGTCGATTCCATGCACTGAATGGTAGAGATAAGAAATCTTCTTAGACTATCCATTCATCCAAGTATAATATAGTCAATTGCAACCTCCGTATCCACCATCAATATATCAAAAAAAAAGAAGAAAGAAAATAAAATCTCAACCACCTCAAATGGAGAGAGAACAGTCAATTTCATTGTTCCATCCACCACACACCCCTGCATATAGATCAAAGTGATCTAGGGACTTACTCTCAAATCTATGAACAATTGTCTCATGCGGGTTGGACTGCATTTCTACCGCATGCCATCTAGAGGTATAAAGCATGCATCTTCAAGAGGGATACAAATTGGTGGTCCAGTTAAAACCAATTGTAATTAATGGTCCAAATGTTTTTTAGTATAATTATTATTTTTAGTTTTCAAATTTTTATTGCTCATAATCTCTATGCTAAAGATTATACTCTCCAAAACTTAGAAATACATTATATTTAAAAAATATATTTATTGTCAAGCCCACATTCTACAATATGCGGGCTGATCGCATGCTAACCCCGTCCAATACAAATTTCTCTAGGGCATATCTTGGAATTTTCGAAAAGAACGGCTCCGTAACAGTGAGATTTTCTTTGCCCATATTACCCTCGAATATACCCGGGTCTACAAGAGAAATTAATAGAAGTATAAAGGTTAGATTAGTAATTTAGGGGTTTCTTTCAGAGTGGTTAATTCAGATAACAGAAAGAAAGGAAAAGGGCGTGTATGTTTTTTTTGCAGAGGGAGGGGCCTTCTTCTTCACATGCCGGTCATATTTTTGTGACGATCGGCTGTGAAGCTTTAGACCCATGTTATAAACCCTAGAAATAAAAGAGCTATTTTTACAAGGAATTTTCAGCCACTTTTGAGGACTCTTTTCTCCTCAAATCTCTGTCTTAATTTGTTCTTCGTGGATGATTTCAGCTGCCTCAGGGATTCGCATTTTTTTTAGGGTTTTGGAATAGGGGTTTTCGTGATCTGTGATCTGGATTCGGAGGAGCTGATCGAGATAAAGAGTGAGGTTTTGGTGGCATTTTGGGCTTGCCTGGTCGGGTTTTCTGAACTCGATCGAGTAAGAAATGGTGAGTCATTGTTTCATTAGGTGTTTTGATTCTGTATGAGCTTGTGAATGTGGGGTTTTATGGTCTTGATATTTGGTTTTTTCTTTTGTTCTCATGTTTTTAGTGTTTTTTATGATGGTTGTTCAGTTGTTCTGGTTAATTTTGGGAAATACGGTTTATTGGAGGGGCCTTTGATTGCCTCTGTCTTGAATTATGGACTTGGTTTTTTTGAGAGTTAACAAAGTTTTCACTTTTTGCTTCTTGGTTTTATTGCAAAATGCCAATGGGATCTTTATTCTTGTATAAATCAATTTATTTTTTTTCCATTTCGCTCCTTTTTCTTGGATGGTGCTCATTATAAGTTTGTATGGTACAAGGATTTCGAGTGCCTGGAATGAAATGTTTGACTTCTGAATGTGTTTTCAATTGTGAGATATGCAGTTTGCACTTCTTTTTTCCCCGGGTTTACTTTGAGTTTACTTCAACTTTGATTTTTGGTGAGGGTTATGTGGGATTATTGGAGAATGCTGATTTTGTATTATTCACTGTCTCCATGATGAGTCTTTATTTTTAGTTTTTTTGAGGTTCCTTTTTATGATGCTGCATCAATGTCCGTCATTTAGTGCTTTATTTGTTGTTTTAGATGTTTTAGGTAGTTTTTTTAACTGATTATGAGAGAAACTGTTGCATGACCTTTTACTCTTTCATGGAATTCTTTAACAATGAGTTTGCCATGCCCCTGTGGCTTTTTATTGACTGAAGATGTTTCTTTCTTTTATACTTTTTTGTTTATTTATTATGATCATCGACAACTGTTATTCATTTATTTGGATAACTTTATTAGTAGATGCTCTGCCATTCATCCCCTGTAACTTTTCTTTGTAGAGATATAAGGAGTAGATTTAGAATTAAGAATGAATTCGCAAGAACATGGCTTAGAGTAAACCATGGTGCAGCCTCAGTAGCTGGTTTTATATTTTTCTTTTTCCTGATGATTTTACCGATAATTGGTTTCTGCTTGACTGTCCTTATAATGTTGACCTGCAGTGCCTTTCATCCTTATGTCTCTGTCTTATGCATATAGCTTTGGCCACAGGGTCATTTGATTTCATTAATGGAAGTACTCAAATAGCTTTGGTAACATGTATGAAACTACTATTTATTAGTTACTCAAATGATTATATAGCTTATGGTTTAGTGTTAGCAATGCAAAATACTTTTTATTGAAACAAAAGAAAAAAAAGAAAAAATGTGAAGTACTTGATGCAACTTATGGAGCAAAATGGTTGAATTTCCATTTATGCCCAATATATCACTATTATCCAATAACTTCCAAGTGTTAAGAAAAAAAAGTTTTTAACTATTTAATACATATTTCCTCTGCATAGCAATTATTTCAGAGTGTGCAGGTATCTTTGCCATTAGTTTATCTGTTATGTTGTTGCAAATGAGAAGTATTGTCTTCTTTGGCCGTTGTTATTTTGCTTTGGTGGGCAGCAACTACATATTTCCTTCACTCCTTTTAATTGCGCAAGTTGGAGAGGTCATGGGGTGGTTTTGTTTTATGAAGCCTTACACTGACTTGGTTGGCTCCTTGATGATGCAGGCTGCCCCAGTAAACATAACTGTGGGATCTCTTGTATGGGTGGAGGATCCTGATGAGGCTTGGGCAGATGGGGAAGTAGTTGAAGTTAAAGGCCAGGAAATAAAGATAAGCTGTTCCTCTGGGAAGACAGTAAGTACTTGCTCTAGCTCTTAGTTACTTACTGTGGTACCGTGCTTGAGCTCATTTGCCAAATTCACTTTGTTTTCTATAACCTAGTAGTTTGGGCTAGGCAGGCTAGTCGGTTTTTTCTATAAGGAGATTCAATTTGGCTTTCTATCATCATGTAGGTTACCGCAAATGTCTCCAATGTGTACCCTAAGGATCCTGAGGCATCCCCTTGTGGGGTGGATGACATGACAAAGCTGGCTTATCTTCATGAACCTGGTGTTCTGCAAAATTTAAAATCTAGATATGACATGAATGAAATATATGTAAGTAATGAGCAGAGGGCAGTGTTATAATATTTGATGTTTGCCTTGTGTTCTTTCATCTTATAAATGCCGCTTATCTCGGTTGTTGGCCATTGGTCAATAAGAAAAAGAAGCTTATTGGTCATTGTTTACTGTTACAACCTGAGGTATCATTGATTAATTTGTGTGACACTTCCAGACTTACACAGGCAATATATTGATTGCCGTAAATCCTTTTAGAAGGCTTCCTCATCTGTATGATAACCATATGATGGAACAATATAAAGCGGCTGCCTTTGGGGAGCTAAGCCCTCACCCATTTGCTGTTGCAGATGCTGCATACAGGTACTGTTCTCAGGTTCAATTGAACAACAATCTATATCTGATAGCATATCTGTTCTGTTGCATACCTGATGTGGTATCTGTACAATTTCAGGCTTATGATGAATGAGGGCATAAGCCAATCAATCCTAGTGAGTGGAGAAAGTGGAGCAGGTAAAACGGAAAGCACAAAAATGCTTATGCGTTATCTTGCTTACATGGGAGGTAGAGCTGCGGCAGAGGGGAGGACGGTGGAGCAGCAAGTTCTAGAAGTAAGGGAATACCCGCCCATCCATTTCTTTAATTAGGGGCTCAGAGAAACTATTTGTTTAGATGTTTGGAGAAGACATTCTTTCTTTGGCATAGTATAAGTTATCTCCCTTGTTATTATTTTTGAGTCCTTGACTATTTGTCGTTTTTGCAGTCAAATCCTGTTTTGGAGGCATTTGGTAATGCAAAAACTGTTAGAAATAATAATTCAAGGTGAGCGTTCTATGGTGCTTGTGCCTTTAGACATATGCACAATAAGTTGTCCCTTACTAGAGTATATATAGCATGAAGGACATATCTAAATCTTGACATATATTGATTGGGTAGTAGACATAAGACACTGACTGCATGTTACTGTCGACATTTTGAAAAGCTTCAATATAACAGCTATAGTGGCCGCTGCTGCTACAGAAAATATCAGCGAATAATTCCTGATAATTGAATGTGATTGCACTGGTCCCTAATATAATTGATAACAATTGAAGGGTCCTTGGTCGTTATAATGTCACTATTTTTGGGTAAATAATGAGCCACTATGTATTTCAAAACTTCTTTATTATTTTGTGCTTGTGTACCTGTGAGGATTTTGGTGCTGTAAGGTTATTGTGATGAATGGTCAATGTGGCCTAAAATTTGTATGCCATTTATTGTGCAGTCGGTTTGGTAAGTTCGTGGAGATTCAGTTTGACAAGAGGGGACGGATATCAGGAGCTGCTATCAGAACTTACTTGTTAGAAAGATCTCGTGTTTGTCAAGTTTCTGATCCTGAAAGAAATTATCATTGCTTCTATATGCTTTGTGCTGCACCACCTGAGGTATTTTAAACACTCTGGACTTTTAATGAATGAATGTGCTATTGGGAGACATGTTATGTTATTTGGGTAAATTTTAATATTTGTCTTAAACTATGGTCTATTATCAGGATGTTGAGAAATACAAATTGGGGAACCCTAGGATGTTTCACTATTTGAATCAGTCCAACTGTTATGAGTTGGATGGAGTAAATGATTCTGAGGAGTACTTGGCCACAAGAAGGGCCATGGATGTTGTGGGAATTAGTTCTGATGAACAGGTAATTCCAACCTATATTTGCATATCTTTTTAAATTCCCTTGTTGCAGGAATCTCCCAGTAGTGCAAATCCTATTGCACTTATGCTTACTGTTTGCTTCTGGTAACCAAGCCCTTATCTATGTTTAGCAAGTGTCCTTGTTTTGACCCTTAGGAAATTACTCTCTAATGATATATGGGTATTTCAGGATGCAATTTTCCGAGTTGTGGCTGCAATCCTTCATTTAGGAAATGTGGAATTCGCTAAGGGAAAGGAAACTGATTCTTCTCAGCCCAAAGATGAAAAATCACTATTTCATCTCAAGACTGCAGCAGAGCTTTTTATGTAAACATCGATACATAACTTCGGTTCAAAAGCTTCCGTTTTGAATCTTATGACTTGTGCCGTGTATCTTGTGGAGACTTGTTTTTGTTACTCATTTGTTTTCTTAGTTTTTCAGGTGCAATCTAAAATTACTTGAAGATTCTCTCTGTAAGCGTGTGATTGTAACACGTGATGAGACCATCACAAAAACTCTTGATCCAGAGTCTGCTACTTTCAGTCGAGATGCTTTAGCAAAAATTGTTTATTCTCGGCTTTTTGATTGGTGAGGACTCTTGAATTAACCTCACTGATTTTGATGCTTCTTCTTACGAACTACTTCACACACATTTTATTGTTTTGGTGATGTTGGTGCAGGTTGGTGAATAAGATAAATAGTTCAATTGGCCAGGACCCCCACTCAAAGTTTCTAATTGGTGTATTGGATATTTATGGTTTTGAGAGTTTCAAGACAAACAGGTGCTCTTATCTATTTCAATTAACATATTTTTATGTCGATATAATTTTCTATCATATTTTATGTATTCATAATTTTCCATCCAGAATATGCACATAGACTTTATAGGAGGTATGATTCGACGAGTATATTCTTCTTTATAGGTACCATAATTTCCTTAAATACATCATTCAATCGAGTTTATTACAATATTTATAGTTATTTGGTGTTTCTGGGGTTGTGTAATCATTTATCTTTTGATCTGTCAGAATCAGATGCAATGACGAGCTCTGTGTCAAATGAAGTTATGTGAAATGTTATATACTGAGTAGCTCTTGGTTTTTTCGATGTTGTAATTTATTTGGAAGAAACTCAAAGCTGATTTTCCCTTGATGACTTCTTTGCTCATGCTTCAATTATAAAATGTGGTTTCTTTCCAAATATTACTGTTTCTAATTTTCAAGTATGCCAGATCACCTTTGTTTAACTTATGAATGAACATTTGCATGATCATTATTCATTAATAATGTTTGTTTCAGCCAACAGTCAACAATTTCCAAAAAAAAAAAAATTGTTTGTTTCAGCCATTGACAAACTGTTGTGTCACTTGCAGCTTTGAACAATTTTGCATTAATTTGACAAATGAAAAACTTCAGCAACATTTCAACCAGGTTTGTTTGGGAGTTGTTTAACTTCCCATTTATTTTAGTTGCATGACACCATTCAATCACAATAACAGATGGAGACTTTATCTATTTGTGTGGAGCAGCATGTTTTCAAGATGGAGCAGGAAGAGTATACGAAGGAAGAAATCAACTGGAGTTACATTGAATTCATTGATAATCAGGATGTGCTGGATCTAATCGATAAGGTTTTTGTTCTTAGCCTTCTGCTTCCTGGATTACATCACATGATAATATAATATGTTGAGAGATTCGAGTAGATATTGGTATCAGTTTTACATCTTTGTTTTCAGCAGATGTAAATAAAGTACAATACTCACCTTTTATATTTTTCTTCTGTTTATTTGTAATGATAGTAGTGCTCTAGTTAGAATCCAGCAAGATTGTTATTGGGAGAAGGGTCAGTTGGTTTATAGGTTGCATAAGGGCATTAAGTGGTAATTGTGTAGCCTTCCATATAGATGGGTGGATTTGGTTAAAGAGGGTGGTAGTTTAAGAACTTCTATTCAATATGCGTAACAAATACATCTCTTTGATGCGGTATAATATGTTAACAATCACTCGTGGTTGTCCAAGACTTACCATTCCTGCAGGCTACCACCCCAACCCTCATCCAAGTATTACTAGTTCACCTGAATATAGTCGTCTGTTGATATAAGGAATAAGTAATTCCCTTTTCTCTGGGGCTCGCTAGGTTGGGAGGAATCATTCTTTTTGGTTCTCACTTTCTCGGACTGGGAAAAGTTTGATGCTGGTTTTCCATTATATGGTCTACCTTGGCTTACTTTTTGTTTATGCCTGTCAGATCTGCTTTTGGTCCTTAGGATGTAAATAATTTACATGCTTCTCTGAGTGGTTTCTTGTACCGAATCAAGTTTCTCTTAATGCATCTTATTTCTTGAAGGAACTATGCAGCCTATTGGTAAAACTTGTGCCATAATTAGTGCATTACTCTTTTTTTTTATTTGGAATTCCATATATTGGATTTCTGTATTTTCTAATTCGTTGAGTCATTACTTTCAGAAACCTGGAGGGATCATTGCACTTCTTGATGAGGCTTGGTAAGTGCAAATAATATATTTTTTAGGTGTTGATTCATTTGAATGCTCACTTTGCATGTATTTTGTGGATATGGTTGAAATGGATTTAAACCGTGTTTTGTAGCATGTTTCCTCGGTCAACACATGAAACATTTGCTCAGAAGCTTTACCAGACATTCAAAAACCACAAACGCTTCAGCAAGCCCAAATTGTCACGCACTGATTTCACCATCTGTCACTATGCTGGTGATGTAAGTTACATCGTGAAGTCATCCATTTGACAAAATTAACTGATCCATAGAATTGCAGGAGTCATATGCTCTCTGGTTCTGATTTTTCAGGTGACCTACCAAACCGATCAATTCCTTGACAAGAACAAAGATTATGTTATTGCGGAGCATCAAGCTCTCTTAAGTGCTTCAAAGTGTTCTTTTGTCTCGGGCTTGTTTCCTCCACTATCTGAGGAATCATCAAAGTCTTCAAAATTCTCATCTATTGGTTCCCGTTTTAAGGTTTGTTGTTAGTTGTCACTGTTTCCTAGTTTGGTGTGCTAATCTTCCTATTATAACACAATTGGCTGAGTTTATATATTTTTCTAATTTTTGCTTGTGTTAAATTACTAAATACAGCAACAACTGCAATCATTGCTGGAAACTCTAAGCTCCACAGAGCCCCACTACATTCGTTGTGTAAAACCCAATAATCTTCTGAAGCCTTCAATATTTGAGAACAAGAATGTCTTGCAGCAACTTCGGTGCGGAGTAAGATTCTTCAAATATTTTATTTATTTATTTGTTGTTAGGATTCTTCAATCTTTATTTGCATGTGCTTCTAAATACCTCCCTTTTGATTTGTATGGTATAATGAGGAAGTTTTGTGTGCTTCATTTAGGGAGTCATGGAGGCAATTAGAATAAGTTGTGCTGGATATCCTACGAGACGAACTTTTGATGAATTTCTTGATCGCTTTGGTATCCTTGTCCCTGATGTTTTGTTGGGAAGGTAATCTCCTAGATAATGCTAGTTACTTTCATGTATGTTCCATTATTGCCTTGAAATTACTGAAGGTGATTTTATCATTTGTAGCTGTGATGAGGTCACTGCATGCAAGAAGTTGCTGGAGAAGGTAGATCTTCAAGGCTATCAGGTATATACATTAATAATTCGATAATGTTGGGAATTATTTTTGGTTTGTATTTTCCTTTAATAAATTGATAGTTTGTTCGTGGTATATTTACTTGGTAGGGATTTCTTTATCTTGTAGTTAATTTTTTTGTTTCCGGCATAGTCCCATATAAGTTTCTTGAATCTATAAGATCTAATTACGTAGTATCTTCTTTAGTACTACACAAACTTAATTTGGCAGAATAATAGTTCCAGACTGAGTTTAAATGGTCCAATTCAGATCATGGTACCCAGGAAGAAACTACCACCCTTTAAGACATTAAGGATCTCTCTCAACCCCTTCCCTAATCTCTCTTTGAACCAGATTATAGAAGCAAGTCCTGATTAGATAATTTTTATCAGTACCTGACCCAACTTCTTAAGTAGAAAATGCCACCTGTTTAGCCTGCCTGTAGGCTATTGTGTTGCCATTCAAGGATTTGGCCGATACTCAGCACCTTATACTTGGCAATGTCCTTGAATGTTTATAGTATAACTTCACTTGATTTATAAGGAGTCGTACTCACTTATCTTTCTTATTCACCAGCAATCTATCAAACAACAATTTTCACTTTTACATCCGTGATCCCTGGGTTTCTTAGAATGGAGTTGGCAACAAGCGAGTATTCATCTTAGGAAGCATAATGATATGATTTTCTCAGGTATCAATGTTGTTGACTCAGCTCTTGAGGATTTTATTCAGGACTCTGTATTACCTGAGAATTTTAGGGCCTAAATTAAGGATAATAGGTTTGTTCCTTGTAAGTGGCGTCTTTAATTATTCTCATTAAATCATTAACAAACAATTATAGACACATGCAGTCAATCATGCACTTCATTTTTATTATTGTTTTATGTATGACATATCTTGCAGCCCCATGAGCTTAGAGAATTTGTTACTTGTGGAAAGATACTAATATGAAAAAAAGGACGGCTTTTGATGCAATTCAATGATGCAGGATTTTCCAAATGCTTTAAACCATGTATTCATTGGATAAGTTTTAAAAAATCAGGCTATTTTTTGGCTAAAACTTGCAGATAGGTAAAACGAAGGTGTTTCTCAGGGCTGGTCAGATGGCGGATTTGGATGCCAGAAGGACTGAAGTGCTGGGTAGATCAGCCGTCGTCATCCAGAGGAAAGTGCGTTCATATATGGCTCGCAAGCAGTTTCTGGCAATGCGCCAGTCTGCAATACGTGTTCAAGCTCTATGGAGAGGTATACTGAAAATGTTAAAACTCTATTTAAATGATGGGTATAGTACAATCCAATGAAATGTGGTAACTCACTTTCCGTTGGGGTCATACACAGTTAAATTGATGTGCATTGGGATGTGAAATCATACTAGTTTTTACTCTCTCTATTATCGCCTATCACTTAATTGGATTATGTTGATCCCAATAGACTATGGTCTTCCAAGTCCACTAGATATGGTATACTTCTGTTTACTTCCCTTTTGATGGTATTTTACTTCAATGCTTTCAACTTCCGTTGCTAAAGTCATGCTTATCAGGTCATGCAATCTTGCTTATATACAATCTGTATGTGATGGGTATTTGTATTCTATTGGCAGGAAAACTTGCACGCCGGCTTTATGAGGATATGCGGAGAGAAGCTGCAATCTTGACAATTCAGAAATACCTGCGTGGTTATCTTGCCAAAAAAGCTTACAAAGAATTGGTGTTGTCAGCTGTGATTATTCAATCGGGATTGCGTGGGATGGTTGCTCGCGATGAGCTTCGTTTCAGGCGGCAGACCAGAGCTGCCATTATCATTCAGGTAAATTGGCTATTGCAACTGGAATATATTATCTGCAAATTGGGGGAAGATTCTGTGAAAGTCACATTGGCATAGCTGTGTGGCGTAGAGGCCCGAGAAAGTAAAACTGTTTGACTTGTCGGAAAACAACATGTGGTGAAAGCCGAACAAAAAGAAGAAAACAAAATCCTTAGAAACAAATGCATAAGTATGAAGTATATAATCCTAAAAATATGATTGTTCATTAAGATATCCACATTAGGTGCTTTTCAAAGATTAGATCAAATGGCATTTCAGTATGTTCTATATTTGAATTTTCCATTTCCGACAACGGAATTATGAGTTTTGTTGAGTGCACCTGGTTCTTTTTGAATATGGCGTAGTGGCATGTTAAATACTTGTATCTCTGCTTAAGGAAATGACATTTCAATACATTCTATAATTGAATTTTATCTATGCAGCCGATGAATTATTTAACTTCTGGTGTCATAATTTTCTTCTCTGTTTTACATGCAGACTAATTGCCGACGTTACCTCGCCCGTCTACACTATACAAGGATCAAGAAAGCTGCAATTAAAATACAATGTGCCTGGAGAGGCAGAGTGGCAAGAAAAGAGCTGCGGAAACTCAAAATGGTGAGCTATCCTTGTAGCAGTAACTAACAAAGTTATCACGTGATCATCTTCATTGAAACTCATTCATCTTTAGCGTCTAACACTTTTGGGAATTAAGTCTTTTTGTATGGCATTTCTTTTTTGGGAGTTAAATTGGAGCTGCTATTCATAAAGGCCTGTATAAGCTCTCTTTCCAGCGTGAACCAAATATAAAATAATTTACTTCATAGGTTCCCTAATGTTTGTCTTCTTGGAATATGGAAAGGTCCTGGTTATTTTCTTGTTGCGGGTTTGCTTTTTGCTCTTTTCTCTTTCTCACAAAAAGGAATATCTTTCTTCCAATTGATGTCTTTAAGAGCAGTTTTGCTTGTATTAACTGCTTCAATGTTGGCCTTTAGACTCTTATTAGTGTGGCCAGATTGTCAGAATGGCTTATGAATGCTTCACAGGCTTTTGCAATTTCTTTTCTTTTCTGTAAATTGATTTGAAATCTATACTAAGTGCTTTCATAAACTCCCAAATTCTGCCTATCAAAATGTTTGATTTTCTTTATTCTAAAATTTCTGGGCTCAATTATCTTATATCTAACCATCTTAGGTTATGGTCGGTTCTTAAAGTTAAGACAGAACATGCCGTGGTCTTTCTTGAGATTGATATCTTATGACTTTTAATTTTATCAGTTTGCTGGTGGATCGTTGATCGATGTTCTCTAGACTCTAATAATGTGGTTAAAACTATGTTCTGTCCTTTATCGAGTAGTTTACTTCTGGTATCCAATAAGACCAGCTTCCATTTGGGTTGTTCTTTTGCAGGCGGCTAGGGAAACTGGTGCTTTACAAGCTGCCAAGAACAAGTTGGAAAAGCAAGTCGAAGAATTGACCTGGCGATTGCAATTGGAGAAACGCATGCGGGTAAATTATAACTCATGCACTGTACAATTTCATTGTCTTAGTATGTGCATCATTTGCATACTATATTAAGATGTCAATATCAAACCACTTGAATTGATTCATGTATTTTTGTTTTTTGGTTCATTTAGGGGCCCTTGAAGATTATGATCATATGAATGGTTTAATGAGTTAGTCTGCTCACCTGAAATTTAGGTGTGCATGCACTTGCACGCACACAACACTGCCACATCCATGCAGGAAACATGCATGTATGCAAACATACATAGCTTGCTGGCACATCAATATAATCAAATATAATTTTAACTGCCAAGATACATAATGTATTTATTATTCTTGGTGATCAAATTTCTTTCGAAATTAATCTGAACGCACTATAGCTTTGTAGGTCATAATTGATTTGACATGTGATCTCTCATTGTAGGCTGACTTGGAGGAAGCCAAAGTACAAGAAACTGCTAAATTGCAATCTGCTTTGCAAGAGATGCAAAATCAAGTCAAGGAAAGTAAAGCCCTTCTGATAAAGGAGCGTGAGGCAGCAAAGAAGGCAGCAGAGCAGGTTTCTGTTATACAAGAGGTTCCAGTTGTAGATACCGCCAAGCTGGATAAGCTTGCCAAGGAAAATGAAAAGCTCAAGGTGAGTAGGCCAACAACCTTGGAAACACCAGAGGCACTTGACATCCCTCTGATAGTCCCTATTAGAGCACCTTTGTTCTTTGTTTATTTTGTATGAGAAACTGGTGTACTTTGTCCATTTCATTGGTAACAACTCACATGTTTCTCACATGTAATTTGATTCTGTTCAGGTCTTGGTGTCAACACTTGAAAAGAAAGTTGATGAAGCTGAGAAGAAGTATGAAGAAACACACAAACTTAGTGAAGAAAGACGCAAGATGGCTGAAGAGGCAGAGTGGAAGCTAATCCACTTGAAGACCACTGTACAAAGGTCTTGGCGGTAGCTTACTTCATAATTTCTGGAGCATGGCACATGTTCGTGAGGAGCAGTATTTAAAAACTTGGAGCGTCCGAGCAGGAGACTTGGCAAGCAACTCGGAATCAGCATCCTGTTGGTTCCGGATGAGGCAGACTTGGATGATCTGAGTCTGATTTGTCTGACTTGAGTCTGCCTGAGTCCGTCTGCATCTTAAAAAATCCAGCAAATCTTCAAAAAGTACAATTATCTAAAGATGAGACTCGGAGAATTGATTCGGGGCTTGCCAAGTTGTCTTGCCCCAGATAGCAATAGAGTCCTGGGGCAAGTCTGAGGTTTAAAATACTGCCTAGCGGTATTTAGTTTTGGAAATTTTGGTGGTTTACTACTATTCTTATTTGCTGTATTTTAATTTTTCATCTATTATAGGTTAACTAATTGATTTCCTTATGCAGGCTTGAAGAGAAGATATCTAACATGGAATCTGAGGATCAAATTCTTCGGCAGCAGAGTTTGTTAAATTCTCCTGTAAAGCGTATGTCAGAGCATCTGTCAATTCCAGTAATTAAGGTACATGAACCGAGAGCCCATAATTTTCTACATGCTCGTCATACTGCTTTGAATATTTCCTTCCTTAGACCATACCTGTATTAATGCTTATCTTCATTTGCAGAATGTGGAGAATGGTCACCATGAGAGTGGGGAGCTTAAAAATAAAACTGTATGCTCGAGAAACTATGCTTGTTGCCTTTGGTTTGGTATTGTAATTAGATATTTGTTATTCTCTGTGCTCATAAGGGGAGAACTATTTTCCAGGAACCACAAGGTCGACTACCTGCATCAAAGGAACATGCAGAATCTGAGAACAAATTGAGAAAGTCACAAATCGAGAGACAACATGTATGCCTTATCCCATTGAAACTACTTTTTTTTTTTAATTGAATCAACCAGTTGAATCTTAGAACTTCCTATAGGGATTTGTGTTTCTTCTGAGTTTGATATGGATGCATGCTAATTTCTCAATCTTCTTTTTGTTGGTACAGGAAAGTGTCGATGCTTTGATTAATTGCATCATGCAGAATATTGGGTTTAGCAATGGGAAACCTGTTGCAGCATTTACCATATACAAATCTCTCCTTCACTGGAAATCATTTGAAGCTGAAAGAACCAGTGTGTTTGACAGGCTCATTCAGACTATTGGTTCTGCAATTCAGGTGGCCAATTCCTAATGGCCTACATCTCACAGCGTATTAGGGTTTTAACTTATTTTTCTTGTTTTTTATTTACTTTCTAGACAAAGTCCTTGTGTATATTAATCTTCCCAAAGGTCGATGACCCAACAAATCAAGAGAATAGTTCAAATCTTTGTCCTTATAATTCAAAAACTTGGGTCTGCAATAGTTTCTGAACATGATATGTTTGTCACGTGCATTCTATTGGCTTGTTATTTGCAAATGCTAATCGAAATTGGAAATGGCTAGGTCAGTTTGTTTGGTATATTGGGACTATCTAAGGGTTTGATCCCTTGACCTTCCTCACTTTTGTGGGGATGCCTTCCACTAAGCCAAAGCCTAAGGGACCAAATGCTAATAAAAAATTTATAGAAGAAAATTACACACTGTACATATATCCATATGTCCATAGTGTTCTTTTGTGCTATTTGTAGCATGGTAGAAGTGTTTTTTTTTTTTTGTGTGTGTGGGGTGGGGGGGGGGGGGGTTGGTGTATGTGTGTGGAGGTGTTGGGGTGTGATTGTGTGAAGCTGAAGGTAATGCATGTGGTTTGTAAAGTTTTGTGGGTGTTGACTGAAACTTTCTTCTCTGCCATGCAGGATGAAGATGATAATGAACATTTGGCATACTGGCTGTCAAATACATCCACTTTGTTGTTCTTGCTACAGCGGAGTTTGAAAGCTGCTGGTGCACCCGGAAGTACTCCTCAGAGGAAACCTGCTGCTGCAGTTTCATTATTTGGAAGGATGACTCAGGTTAGTCTTCTCTCTCTCTCTCTCTCTCTCTCTATCTCATTATTGTCAGAATCCAAGGCACAACTATAATAATGAGCTGAGCTTTAGTGACTGTGCATGCTCAGCAAACTTTAATGGTATGATTCTTTTTTTTTTAATAGGGTTTTCGCTCTTCACCGTCTTCGGCACAACTTGCTGTGGGCAACCTAGATGTTGTTCGCCAAGTTGAGGCTAAGTACCCTGCGCTGCTTTTCAAGCAACAGCTGACAGCTTATGTGGAGAAAATATATGGAATCATTCGTGACAATGTAAAGAAGGAATTGATGTCTTTGCTTGCCCTCTGCATTCAGGTATAGAGCAAGCTACATGTCCTACTTGTAGATGTTGCTTGGAAAAGTAAAATCTTAGAAATGATATTATTTTTTGGCGATGATCTTTCGGGTTTACATTTGAGAAACTCATTTTCTTCCATGCATTTCTTCTTAGGAACAGTATAATATTGGTAGTTTGTGATCGGTGCAAGAAAAATCAAGTGGTTGAAATTCTAACTGCCCGGTTAAGTCAGAATTGGCCGGTTTCGGTTTTAGTCGGTTTTGGTGAACTAGCTGGGTATATTTAAAAAATTAAAAAACAATTATATAAAATCCCAAAAAATAAGGGATTTTGTTTGTAATGCGCTTTTTAATGTTTTTCATCATTTTGGCAAAGATTGAAAATTGTTTTGGCCATTAATACTTTTACATTTTTCCATCTTTTTAAAAAATTCAAAAATACCCCTGCGCACAAATCAATTATTTAAAATCGATTTTGTCATTAGTTGTTAAACTTCATTTGGATGTGCATCATGCTTTAAATATACTTTTGATTTTTTTTAGACTTTATTTTATGTTTTTATTTTTATTTTTTTTAACACTTTTTTTGACCGCAAGTAACTTGCTTGGTTAGGCCGGTTGAACCACTTCCGGTCCCATGTTTGGTTATAACCGGTCCGGTTCGATTTTTCCTACATTGTTTGTGAGCCATTGGAGATTGCTATAAATAATATTGCATTAGAAAGGATAACTTTTATAGTTTGATGTGAGTTTCCTGTGCTTTTTAGGCCTTTGGAATGCACGTTGCCTTTTTATTCCTTGAGTTTGATTGAGTTTTTTTTAATCCTTTTTCGTCTTTCCAAGTATTCATGCTACTGTCTATTCATTGCAATTGCATTACAGTGCCACATGGTGGATAGAGATATTTTGCTGAAGAAAATGTCTGCTGATATTGAGTTTCATCTGATAAATGTGTCAGAGAACTCTTTATGACGAGTCTTTAAACTTGTTATAGCATGGTATGCAACAAAATTTATAATGGCTTCATGCATTAATCATAATATTAAGAAGTACATTTATATGTAGCAAATCTGTTGAAATGTTGGAGACTGACACGGTGAGCCAGATGAAATGTTGGGTTAACATTGTGGTTAACTCTCAAATTTTGTTGTATATGGCTTATGGGTTACTAGTGTACTAACTTATAGAAATGCAACTTTGAATATGGTAACATTTTAGGCACCAAGAACATCAAGGGGAGCTATGGTGAGGGGATCGGGCCGGTCCTTTGGGCATCATACGCCAAGCAGTCACTGGCAAAGCATTATTGACAACCTCAATGCTCTTCTTAAAATGTTGCAGGAGAACTTTGTAAGTAGTTTTCTCTGCTATTCGATTTACCCATGCCTTTTAGATGAAATCTCAAATGACATGAGTGCTATAAATTTTCAGGTGCCCTCAGTTCTCATCCAAAAGATCTTTACACAGATATTTTCATTTATTAATGTACAACTCTTCAACAGGTTCTCCCTCTCTCTCTCTCTCAGTCGTGGGAGGCAAGGCACACAGGGGATGG